CTTATGCAGGTAAATATTAATTTTCAGTCAATTTTTAAGTAGATTTAACAAAACTATCTAAAGGTACTTCTATACTAGAGTATTCCATCAGTTTGGTACACAAACACATCATGGTTCTTTTTTTTATACAGTAGGTATCTTAGTGTTTTTTCCCCTTATATACATATGGTCTCGTGTTGCCATCACATCAGAAATATAGTCTGCATGGGAATATTTTTAAAATCCAAAACGTTGTTCTGTTGTCTTCCAGCATTTTACACTACAGAAAAGAATTTGGAAACCCACCTAATTTTTACTTCCTGATAATAACATGCTTTCATTCTTTCCTTCCTATGTAAAATAATTTTTTATTTATTATCATCATTTGAAAATTTTGTAATATTTTCCCTTTTTGTGTTGTCGTGTCTTATATAAAGATTTTCTGCATTCATAGGTCTTTCTCAGTTTGGGAAAAGTTTTACTTTCTTTTTGTTGTTGCTTATTACCTTTTTTCAAATGCTTTATTCTATTCTTTTGGAAAAATTATCTATATTCTTGTCTCATCTTCAGAATCTACAAATATTAAAGAAAATTAAGTGGTCTTCATTCTTTATACTCATATATATCATCTTACTTGTTGACATAATTTTTAGCTATATAACTTTTCAAGACTATACTCTGTATTGACTAAACTTTATCACAATATCAATTCTGCCTTTTACTGCTTCAAATACAGATATTTAATGTTATTGTKGTAGACAGAATAATACTCCCCTGACCCAAATATGTTCCATCATAATTTTGAGAAACTGTGAATAAGTTACCTTATATGGCTCAAAGGATTATGTGGCATGATTAAATAAAGAAACTTAAAATGGGAAGATCTCCCTGGATAATCTAGATGTGTCTTGAAAAGTGGATGACCTTTCCCTGCTATATTCAGAAAAAGTGACTACATAAGAAGCCATAAAGATGCCATCTTGCTGACTATGGAAATGGAAGAAGAGAGAAGAAAGGAATGTGGGCAACCTCAAAAACTAGAAAAGTCAAGAAAATGAAGATTATCTTTCTGAGCCTCCATAAAGGAATGCAGCTCTGCAGATTCCTTTATTTCAGCCCATTGTGGTATATGTCAGGCTCCTCAACTATAGAACTGTAGGAAAATAAAATTGTTGTTTTAAGCTACAAAGTTTGTTGTAATTTGTTATAGCAAGAATTTTAAAAAGTATATATCTCTAATATGTTTAGTTTCCTTGTACTCATTTTGTTTTCTCTATCTTCCTATTATTACATCATCAGTATCTGTCCTTTTTAAATAGAATTTTTCTATCCACAGAGTTCATGTATGCCTGAATATGTCAAATATCAAAGAATTCCCTGAAATGTTCTTCTTTAGCAGAAAATTACTTTTAAGTTTTCATAGGTATGCCTCAGAGTCTTCAGCTGATTTCCTTTGCCTTGATTTTGTGGGATGTTTTGTTCCACTTAATTCATTTTCAAATGCTAAATTTATTTATTTTTATATTTTTAAAAGAGTATATGCTGGTCCTGCATAGTGTAATGTTTTCCAAATATGTTTAGGAGAGATAACGTGAAGGGGAAGAGAGGAGACACAGAACAGACCCCTAGAAACAGAATCAGAAACTGATTATACCTGCCTATATTAAGAGGAAAAACACAACAACAACCCTGACATGCCCCTATTGAGAGAAATTCAGTGCTATATTAAGTCTCTATGAATAATGGGAGTATATTATAATGTTCAAGTTTATGGTTCAAAAACAATGGAAGAGAACCACATATCTTCAACCCTTCCTATATAATGAATTTGATCACTGGAAATGTTACAATATCCAAAAAATAATATCTCTACTACAGGAGCCAGGTTTTTCCATCCAGTGTTATCTTCTACCTGGTGTAGGTAATAAACCATAAACCAAAATTAGAAATTTTCTTAGGTATCCATTTGTTATTCCTAATACCCAAAATATTTAAATATTTTCAACATTTAAAGTATGCAAAACAAAAATGCTTAAAATACAGTCAAGTTTCTTTTCTCTTTGTTAAAATTTTAAGCTGTTCAATCTAATTGTTATGCTATTTTTGCAACTATGTCCCTATGTAACACTACTATGGAACTAAATTACTTTATTACTATCCCCATTCTCCATGTTCAGTGGTGTAAAGCCATGAACTTGACAAGAGTTCCTCATTTATTTACCTTCAAATTCAATGAAAGAGATTGTTAAACCTCTGGATGTAGAACACATATTTTTATTGCTGTTTAACATTTCAAAATTATTTCATAAAAATATATACATACCCATCTCACTCAAATTATCCAAAGATACTTAACATTTCTACCATATAGGAAATGTTAAATACATGTAGTAGCTATGAAAAATAATCAGTTCTAGGACTATATAATCATTATCTCTTTAGTAAGAAATTCTTGAGGGTAGCAAATACAAAATATGTCTCACTAGTTAGTATCATTTTAGTTATTCTGAAAGAATACTAAGAAATATATATTCTAAGTAGTATTTTTAAACTTCACCATTACAGCCAAATCTATTGACATTGAAAATGGGGGAAATATGCCCTAGTTCTTTCATGTAGAAACATGTTTCTACATGAAAGAACTTCTGTAGGACCAATATTTCCATGGAAATGCCTTGCGCATTGGAGTGAGGGAAGAAAATTATTCTTTGTGAAACTTCATAATTCTTCTACATACCAAATATTTTACATCTCTAAACTTCAGGGTCCCAAAAGCCATTACTCACTTTAAAGATACTTTAATAACTCAAAAGTACTACCACACATTTCCAGTTAACCACCACAGTGGAAAACCAGAGCACTAAGTTACCAGACCTGGCCTAAGATCCCTCTCCTTGTGTAGCTTCTCAGCAGGGGAGTTATCTGATCAGTGGCTGGAATATGCTGGTGTATATTATGCCAATGAGTACAGCTATGGAACATGCACAGCAGTGATTCTGGGTAAATGCATCTGTTCTGAAAAATGAAATTTTTCTATCAGCTAAATTTTTTTAGAGGATAAAAGATGGTAGGAAATACTACTACTTATTTTTGGTGTCCTATTTAAAGCACTAATCTCAATCAGCCTGTTAGTAACAAAGCTGATGTTGTAAACTTTTTACAAATTCAAAACAGTTCAAAAAGACTTACTACTTACTGAACCCCTAAAATCACTAAGTCCATTATCTTGTATTCATTTTTCCTCATTCTAGTTTCTATTAKAAATAGAGTTTAATAATGAAAGTCAAAGGAAAGAGTCAAATGTTAAAGAGTTCAAATTAAAGTTCTAAGGAAGTAAAAGTTACACATATATATCCTTAAGATTTATTACAAAAGTAAGAAATCTTTCCCTCTTCAATTTCATCCTTATCCAATGATAACATGTTACATCTACAATTGATATTACAATTGACGCCTACTTTCATTGGTGACTTGAGCAAAGAAAATAATGAATTCTATTTACAGCCTTATAGGGTCTGATCATTATTGGATTAGAAATATGCTCTCCTGTCCTTTCAGGCTATATATGCACGTCATTAAAAAAAAAAAAAAAAGGAGGGATGGTGTGGGGAGGGGCTGAGGGCAGGTTATCCTGCAAAACATTTCAGAACAACCCTGAATCATTAATGAATACATTAGTGGTTTCTTGATTATTTCTAATCCTAAAGAGTAAAAAAAAAAAAAATCATAAGGAAAAATTAAAAGTACTTTAAACAGAATAACTATTTTGTCAATTCAGATCATATAGACAGATTATAAGTATAAAACACTTTGTAAAGATTATTATTTTAAATACATTTTCAAATCAGTTCTTCCTAAAAGGAAGGACACAAACAAGTATCCCCACTTTAAAGATGAGAAAGAGTTATTACCTAAAAGCAATTAATGGGTTATTACCTAAAAGCAATTAATCCTGCCAGTTTCCTGACTTGTAGGCCAGTGCTCTTCCCAGTGTTAACAAGCAGTACAAGTTTCCTTCCTGAAGATTTACACTGTAAACCTGGCACATGGAAGTGAAAGCAGAATTTTAGCTCCTTTGTTTTCTCTCTGGAATGTTTGCTCTGCTGAATCATTTGGGGCCAAGTGATATGAGCAAAGGAGAGGACATTTGAAATGGTTGTTACCCTACAGTCACTGACTGTCAAATATAGACCCAGCATAGGGGAGAGCCTATAATAAGGAACCTCCAGGAATTAATTGTCTCAACTTTCTGAGAAAGTTCATTGAGCTCAGAAAAGCAGCAGAGAAAAATAACTGCAAGTGAAGAGAACAGAGTCCTAAACCCTTCTTTCAGAATCATCCACATGGACACCAACATCTCCTGAATTAAGGGATTCACCAAGCACCAGGTAAAGTAACCCCACTCCAACACCAACACCAACACCACCAAGTCGCTCTTCTCTGCAAATATTTTGGTCTGCATACTTGTTCACTAATARGGAGAAACAGAAAAACGAATAAGCAGAAATGATACACGAAAGGTAGGCCTCAATGAGAACTGCAGAACCAAGAAGGCAGCCCGGGGGTGGGGGGGTGGGGGTCGCAAGATAATTGACAGCAGAACGGTACCAATCCCTAGCCAAGTGGAAAGCCTCAGGAAGTGGGCGGGACTAACGTTTCCAAGGCCCAGCGCCGGCACCAGACACGCTGGCAGGGCAGGAACGKCGTGTTCCTTAGCAACCGCGGCGGCCACGCCCACCCTGCGCCCAAACCCCGCGCCCGCTATCCCTTCAATCCCACCTCGAACGCCTATCTCTCGGAAAAGGGTCCTTAAGTGAAAACCGTACCTACTAGGTTTCCCGAGCTCCGGGTTCCTCTTACAAAATCTCCCTTCCCCCAGTCCACTCAAGTACCGCTCCCAGGGGCCGAACGATCGTGTCCTAAACGTWTTGAGGACTCAATTAAGGAGGTGCGCCCGGAGCTTTCTTTGCAGGGTCTCCCCAGCACCCTAGCCCTCACCAGATAGACACACACACACACACCTCCGCTCAGCCAAGGCAAGGGCTGACAAACTTCGTGTCCGGCTGGGAATGTTGCTGTCCACCGTCCTGTCACTCAGAGGCAGGGGCGGGACGAGCCAGGCGCACGCCGCTATTCCCACAGGGCGGTTCGTAAAAGGGGCAGGGCTCACTCGGCAGAGGCGGGACCAACCCTCAGTCTTCTCTCTGATTGGTTGGTCTCTCTCCCGCCTCTGCGCGAGTCCTGAAAGCTAAAGCGCGCCTTGAGGCCTTTCCTTCTTTTTGAAATAAGTCAGAAGCTATCACACCTGTCAGGCAAGGTAGAAATGTGAAAACTGACTTATTTTACAGATATAGGACCAAAAGAAGTTATTGTGATATTGAACACGCCCCACCCCATACACCCTTATACTGCCAAATTGACACTCACAGGCAAGTATCCCTAGATGGAAGACTGAACTGTATTTGAAAACAGTGTATTGATTGCAGCTTTGGCCAGCCAAAAAAATAAAAATAAAACGGAGAGAGAGAGAGAGAAAGAAAGAGAAAGATAATGAAAGAAAGAAAAAAAGAAACTTTATGTTAATTTTAATTTAAAATCTTAGGAAAGCTAATTGCTGAAATATGACCCACAACTAGGGCTTGGGGTCATTTTCGGGTACTTAGTTTTTATATCTATAAAATAAGGAAGAAATATTAAGATATTAGTTGTTACTTGGAATACATTTGACAATCTAATACTTCATGTAATATATTTATATAATCTTACAAAACCCACTAAGAGAAGTTATTATCCACAGCCTATGAACAATGAAACATAGGCTAGGAGAGATTACATTTATTTAATTATTCAACAAAATCTAAGTGTCTGGAGTCATTTTTATACTTTAGGAAACTCAATTTAAATGTCCTCCAAAAAAAATCATGCAACTTTCAGTGTAGTTTTTTTCTTCATGAATTATAATTTACCTATCTCTGGCTAGTCCATCATCTTTAAAAAAAAAAAAAATCTCATGAGAAAGTAGCATTCAAAAAAAAGAAAAGTATAAATAGACTAACCAGAAGGTTCTTTGAAATTTCCCAGGATATCATGGCCAGGAATTGAATCCAAAATGTAATTTTATTTTGTGTCCTCCTAAATCATCTTCTAGTCTCCAGTTAATCTACCAGAAATAAAGGTAAAGTTAAACGTGATTATATTAATATCCTTAATCAGGTTCCTAGTGTGTGACTTTAAAATAGCAAACCCCACCCCTTTTTTAACATATCAAACCAAAACCAAGAAAAACAGTATCTCTAGATAGTGCTTTGAGATTCAATTAAAATGCCCACCATATTGTGATAAAATTGTTGGAATAAAAGAAACACATTCCAATTGCAAATGATTTTATTTTCTTGTCCTGCTGAATTTCTAAAATCTGAAAGCTTGCTAACTGCAAATAACTCTGCAAAACTTTCTCAGTTTGTGTGACTCCTAGTCTTCATTAAGTTTTTTTAATCTTTCAAAAATATTTGGTTTTAGTCTAAAAAGAAACAGTTACAATTGTATGTTAAGTGCATTATATAAATAAGTACTGCAAATTTAAGCATTGAATGTATTTATTTGAATCCATTTCAAATAAGTATAAGTATAGCAAATACGCTTGGACATTCTCACATATATGTGAGAAAATACAAATATACATTTAAATAAATGCATTATATGCTTGTAAATTTATAATCATTGAAATAAACACAGTTATGTATTATCCATAGGTACAGCTCCAGATTTTTGAAGCATATATTCAACTTTTTTGAAACTCTATACCTTCGTATCTAGTTACACACCCAGTATAAAATACTGTGCTACATATGAATAATAAATTTTTAAACTATGTCCCTGTGAGGAAATAAGGAAAAAAGAGCAGATAATAAGTCTATCCCTGAATCACTTGTGAACATATACTTAAGAACTTGTCTTAACTAGTTATTCTACATTTTACTGATGTGTAAATGAGCACTAGCTAACTCATCCTATAATATAACTATTGTGAAGTAGTTTTATAAGTTTTTCAAAAGGTGGTCCAAAAGTGATGTTTCCAGTTAACTTTTAATACTCCCCAAACTTGGAGTATTGAGAGTTTTGTGCTATCCACATCTCAATTATTTCTATTGCACATCATGCTTCTGTTCCAAAACTTGGAAAATGTGTGATTTGAAATTATTCCATAGTTATAAATGTACATTGGAAAAAATTATGAGGAACTAATATAACTAAGCAAATATTAAATATATTTTAGAGATATATAACAAGACCTAAAAGGCTTAATGTAAAATAAAGCATTCAGATATATTTTATAAATATACTTATTTCTTTATCATATAATGACATATATTAGGTTCTATTTGTGACAAATTGAAATATACACTAGAATCTAATAATTTTGTGTGCTTACACCTTTGACTTAAAATAATACACTTAAAAGTTTCACGGAATCAATTTTACTCATTTGTAGAAACTGTTTTATTAATCATGAAATTTAAATATCTTAAAATGATGATTCTGCCAAAAATATTGTGAAGTCTATTGAATACATTAAAATGTTAAATATAACATGAAATTACTTAATTTTGTTTAGAAGAGGTTTATCTTAAGTTTTAATGGTTTAATTATCAAAGTACCTGGAACTGATTGCTTACTTAATAGGTCAGACCCATGTTGCTATTTGCCCGCATTTATCTTAGGACAAAATCAGGGAAACGTTTAGGGTGAACTTTGTTTAAATTATTTTTAAAGAAATTATTTTTCATGAGACTTAATTTAAGAAATCTTGCTGGGTATGGTGGTAAATGTCTGTAATTCCAGCAGCTATGGAAGCTGAAGTAGGAAGATTGCAAGTTCAAAACCATTCTCAGCAAAAGCGAGGTGTTAAGCATATTCAGTGAGACCCTGTCTCTAAATGAAATATACAAAGCATGGCTGGGGGTATTGTTCAGTGTTCAAGTGCCCCTGAGTTCAATCCCTGGTTACACTCTACCCCCAAAAAAGCTTTGTGATCCCCTAAAATTTTGCATGAAAGTCGTGGTTTTGCCTTACAGTACTATATTTAAACCACTTATTAGAAACTTGAAAATGGGAATGGTCTTCTTAAAAGAAAAGCTTCTTTCTCAAAAGTCAGAAAATTTGTAAATCACAGAAAATATTTTCTGTTGACATGTACAACATTCGAAATTATATTTGCATAGCACATATAAAAAATGAATTTCATGGGAAGAATGAACCTATATTATTAAGTCATTTTTCAATACTTGTTTGTTTTTGAATAATTGAATGCAAGATGGTCTCTGAAATCATGAAAAATTATCTATTATAGATGATATATTATACATGATATATTTAAATAATATAAAAACATGTGTAGAGAATAGTTTCACATAAGTGAAAGAAAAATGGAGTCACAAATCAAGTACTATAAGAATGCGATTTCAAATATGCAGCTACCTGCTGCATCTGTAAAAAATGAAATGTAGATAAGACATATCTTTTAGCCTAGCCAGTTGAAAAGGCTCACATTTACACTTTTTCTCTCAATTTATTGAACAATTAATATATGTCAATAATTCTAAACATTTCCCAAATCATGATTCAGCTTACAAATAATTCACAGATAGCATTTTCTCTCATTAATAAAATGAGAGATAATAATGGCTTTTACAGTTGATAGCCTCCTAATGTCCAGGTGCTGACTCAGTAATCAAAGCTGCTTTGATTTTGTGCTGCTCATCTCAATGAGCATTCCTATTTCTCACATCCGGGGAAAAGAGCTACTGCAGAATCCCATAGGAGCTTCATGCATCCTCAACAAAGCACTGGGACTTATCAATGTATATCAGGGATTCATATCTGCTCCTCAATATTATTGCTAAGATTCATCAACATTATATTCATTTAATACTACAGTGCTAAAAGCAATCTCCATCTGCTCTTTTTATAATACTCTAGTTTCTCCCCAACTCCAGTATTCCAGAGTCCCTTATGATGCTTCATTTGTTCTTTTGTACATAATATTTCATCACTTTTTAATGTATTTATACATAATTTATTTATTTATTATGTGCATTATTTATTATTTATCTCTACCCCAAGAATGTAAGTTGCTTGAGAGTATTGATCTTTGTTGGTTCTATAAATTGATGTATCCCAAGGGAACCTAATAAACACTCAAGAAAGGGTTTTTGATTAAATTGCCTTACATAGCTATGGTTGATTTATTTAGAAATATTCTAGTGCTTGAATATACCACAATTCACATTTTTGTTCTGTTGTAGGATTTTGGGATTGTCACTAGATTTCATCTGTAACAAATAAAATTGCTGTGTAAACACATGAATTTTCTAATGCAAAATTTCCAGACATTCTCTTTGGCTTATAATTCAGAGTAGAATCAAAAAAAGTTGTAGATCAAGTCCATATTCTAAATAAAAGGAAATTACCAAATTGTTTTTCTGAGGTATTATACCCTTTTGTCCTCCTAACTGAAATGTTTATAGTATTTAAATACATTAATCTTTTCAGAAAAACAATTTTTGTCTTGATAAGTTTATTGTTTTTTATTTCATTGATTTCTGCTCTTACCTTTATTATTTATTTTCGCCTTACTAAATTTTTTGTTACTATATCTTTAAGGTATAAACTAAAATAATTATTTAAATTTTTATTCTTTTCTACTGTAACCATTTAAAACTAGAATATTATGACTAAGAATTTCTTCGGTTCTATCCCATGCACTTGAAATGTAGTTTTTTAATTTGCATTCCTTGGGAAATATGTTTTAATTTCCTTAGCTCTGAATTTTTCTTTTATCATTGGGTTATAGATTTAGAATTCTGCTGTTTAGTTTGCAAGTACTTGAAGGTTTTGTAGTTTCTAGTATGAACTTTAATTTCATTAGGATTAGAGAACAAACTCTTTTAAGAATTTACACTTTTGAAAATTACTGATACTTTTTTAAAATAGCCCAGCCTGAGGTTTATCTTGGGGTGGGGGTAGGTATATTCTACAATTGTCAGATGTAGTGTTCTATGGATGTCTATTGTAGTCTATATCTTTTTTGGGGAGTGGG